GCTGCTCAATCTTGTGTTATCCTGATTGTGTTTCCACAGTACTTGAATTGTTTCCTTCTGGCAGCTTGTAATATTTTCTCCTTGACCTGGGAACTCTGGAATTTGGCTACAATATTCCTAGGAGTTTTCCTTTGGGGATCTCTTTCAGGAGGAGATCTGTGGATTCTTTCAATTTCTATTTTGCCCTCTGGTTCTAAAATATTTTTCCTTGATAATTTCTTGAAAGATGATGTCTAGGCTCTTTTTTTGATCATGGCTTTCAGATAGTCCAATAATTTTTAAATTCTCTCTCCTGGATCTATTTTCCAGGTCAGTTGTTTTTCCAATGAGATATTTCACATTGTTTTCTAATTTTTCATTCTTTTGGATTTGTTTTACAGTGTCTTGATTTCTCATAAAGTCACTGTCTTCCAATTGCTCTATTCTAATTTTTAAGGAAGTATTTTCTTCAGTAATCTTTTGGACTTCCTTTTCCATTTGGCCAATTTTTCTTTTTAGGGCATTTTTCTCCTCATTGGCTTTTTGGACCTCTTTTGCCATTTGGGGGTTTTTTAAGGTGTTATTTTCTTCAGTTTTTTTGGGTCTCCTTTAGCAAGCTGTTGACTTGTTTTTCATGATTTTCTTGCATCACTCTCATTTCTCTTCCCAGTTTTTCCTCTACTTCCCTTACTTGCTTCTCAAAATCCCTTTTGAGCTCTTCCAAGGCCTGGGACTGATTCATATTTTTCTTGGAGGCTTTGGATGTAGGAGCTTTGACTTTGTTGTCTTCTTCTGGTTGTATATTTTGATCTTCTTTTCACCAAAGTAAGATAATATAGTCTGACTCTTTTTGCGCTGCTTGCTCATGATCCCAGCCAATTACTTGAGTTTTAAACTCTTTGTTAAGGTAAGAGTCTGCTTCCAATGTGGAGAGTGTACTGTCCCAAGCTTAGGGGGTTTGTGTAGCTGTTTTCAGAGATACTTGTAGGGACCTGTAAATTTTCAGTTCTTCCAAGGTGGTATGATAAGGGGAGGTGTTTACTCCTTTCCTGGCCTGTGACCACAAGTATTCCTTTCTGTCCCGCAACTGTGAGGAGGGGTTTCTCTCCACAGCCACTACAAGCTCCACCACGCCAGCGCTCCTCCTCACCCCAGCACTGCCACCCAGAACTGTGACCCAGATCCACACATGGGCAAAGCAAGAGATTCCTGCCTCAGCACTGGCAAAGAGATCCCTGCAGTCCCTCTCTGATCAGCCACTGGATTCCCCTTCAGTCTGTGGGCCGGGAGCTCAGGAAGCAGCTGCCCCCCCCAGGGCCAGGGTCCTGGGAAATGGATCTGAAAACCCGCCTTCCTCTCTGACCACCGACAGAAACAGACTTTTCCCACTGACCTTCTAAGTTGTCTTTGGCATTCGTGGATTGAGGAGTCTGGAAACCTCCACAGCTGCCGCGATTCAGTCCTCTGAGGCCTGCTCCAGGTTCGTTGCGGCCTGCGCATCCGCGCTGCGCTGTGCTCCCCGCCTGGCGTGATACACCTTTCTGATCAATCATCCAGGTTGTCTTGGGCTGGAAATTTGTTTCACTCTGTCTTTTTGTGGGTTCTGCTGCTTCAGAATTTGTTTAGAGCCATGTTTTATGAGTATTTGGAGGGGTTTGAGGGACAGCTCAAGCAAGTCACTGCTTTCACTCTGCCATCTTGGCTCTGCCCCCCCATAAAAACTAATCTCTATGTAGAACTTTGTGGTTTACAAAAGAATTTCCTTTAAAGCAGCCCTATGAGATAGGGGGTAAAAACACTTGGCACATAGATTTAGTGCTGGAAGGCAGTGAAGAAGTCACCCAAGCCAAACCCCTGGTTTTACAAATGAGGATACTGAGGCCCAGAGGTAATATGACTAGCCCCAATGTCATATAGCTGCTAAGTGGCAGAGCTGGAATTCAAAAATCAGGTCTTCTGCTTCATACTGGCCCTGGATTCAGAGGAATTGGGTTCACATTTCACCCCAGGCAAATCACTTCATAGGATAGTAGATTCAGAGCTGAGAAGAAACCTAGAGATCATCAAGTTGGACTGTATCTTTTTAGGAATGAGAGAAGTGAGGTCTAGTGAGGCAGAGACTTGTCCAGGATCTCAAGGCTAGTAGGTGTCTGAGGCAGAATTTGAACCCAGGTCTTCCTGACTCTGAGTCTATCATTCTATCTACTTCACCAAATTCTTTTAATTTCATATCAGTAAAAGTATGTGTGTGTATGTGTTTGTGTGTGTGAGAGAGAGAGACAGAGAGAGAGACAAGGAGATAGAGACAGAGAAAGAAGAAGAAGAAGGAGGAGAAGAAGGAAAAGGAGAAAAAGGAGAAGAAGAAGAAAGAGGAGGAGGAGGAGGAGTAAGAGAAGGAGGAGGAAGACGAAGAAGAGGAGGATGTGGAAGGGAGGGAGGGAGGGGGAAAGAAGGAAGAAGGGAAGGGGAGAGGGGGATAAAATGGGGGAGGGGTTTGGATTAGATTAGTGTTCAGGCAGTCTATGGGGTGAGGAGCTTTTTCCTGGACCTGTAACCTCTATGCAGGGTCCTGTGTGTTTGACTTGATTCACAAAGGACTATGCCTTTGATTATGCTCTGCTGATCAGCTCCCCTTGGGACAGTGGTGATGACTGCCGGACTGAGGTAGATTTCTGTGCTGTGGTCCTTTCTGCATCCCAGGCACTTGACTGAAGGCTCTGTCCCACTCTCCTGCCACCCTCCAGATGGAATGTGGCAAACCCAGCATTGATCAAAAGCTTGATGCCAGCCTGGGAAGGCTGTGACAGATGTGCTGGAGACACAGAGGAAGTGTGTTTCACAGAGAGGGAGACAGCAGTGATGGCTTTGCCTGCAGTGAGTGCGGATGGGGAAGGCAGGGATTAGCAAGTATGGCTGGGATTCACAATCTGAGCTCAAAACTTCTTCCCTTACAGCAGAGACCAGCAGTCTGTGTGTGAGCACCTGAACTCCTGAAAGAGATACTGTAGCATCCACCAGCTCTGAATGCATTGTTGTGAGGAACAAGGTTTAAAAAGCAGGAAAAGAGAGAATGTTTAAGTGAGGGAGAGAAGAGGAAAAGAGTAGCCCTCACCCAACTCATTGGTTGAGAAGAAAATACTTAACATTGAAATTTAAAGTATCTGTACACAATGTGTGAACTCCAAGGAGCAGAATGGCAGCTAGGGGGTGCCACCATGGAGCTGAACCTTACGTCAGGAAATCCTGAGTTCAAATCCAGCTTCAGCATCAACATTTATCTGCACAGTGTGCACAAACACACACACACACACACACACACACACACACACACACACACAGGGTAAGGTACTTCTTAGCTATGTGACCCTAGTCACTTAACCTTTGCCTTCTTCATTGTCCTCAACTGTAAAATGGGGATAAAGCACCTACCTCCTTGGGTTGTTGTTGATAATTCAGGAGAGTATAGAGCTGAACAATTTCACCAAGGAAAACTCCAGTACCATCTCCTACATTCAGTATTTCCTACTTTCCTGTCTCTCCCCATCCCCCATCCAAAAGCTAGTACCTTCCCTCTCTAACTTCATTTTTAGTTGTATTTGACTCTTCCTGACCCCATATGGGGTTTTCTTGGCAAAGACACTGGAGTGGTTTGCCATTTCCTTCTCCAGCTCATTTTACAGATGAAGAAACAGAGTCAAACAGGGTTAGGTTATTTATCCAGGGTCACACAGCTAGGTAGTGTCTGAGCTCAGGTTTGAACTCAGAAAACTGAGTCTTTCTGACTCAAGAGTTAGTGCTCTAGCCACTGTGCCACCTAGCTGCCCTTTGTTCCTAATTACCTTGTATTCATGCTCTATATAGTTACTCAGTTTATCCTCATATATGTACATGTTGTCTTCCCCTATAGAAGGTAAGCTACTGGATAGTAGAGGTTATTTTGCTTTTTACATGTGTATCCCCAGAACCTAGGACAGTCCCTGGAATGTAAGTGTTTAATAAATGTTTGCTCATTGGTTGAGAAGAGAAGGTAGTATAGCCAGTGCAGGAGTAGATGGCCTAGAATAATACTAGGGGATGTAGGTCTTGGAGGTCCTGGTAAGGATGAATAATAATAACAATAATAACTAGCATTCATATGATGCTTTGAGGCCTGTAAAACACTTTACATGTATTAATGAAAAGTAGGTTTAAGAGACTAAGACATAGGAGATCCCTTGAACATGGTGGTGGAACACTTGATGGTGATAGTAAGATCAACTGTCTCTGTGTGCTGTTGTGTGGAGTAGAAGAGTAGATCATGAAAGTTGAGTAAATTGAGGAACTGGAGAGTTGGGATAGTTGAACAATTATACTAATCAACATTTATATAGATTCTGAGGACAGCTAGATGGTACAGTGGATACAGCACAGGGTCTGGAATAAGGAAGACCTGAGTTTAAATCTAGCCTTAGTCACTTACTGTGTGACCTTGGGCAAGTCACTTCACCCTGTTTGCCTCAATTTTCTCATCTGTAAAATGAGTTGGAAAAGGAAATGGCAAACCAACTCCAGTATACTTGCCAATAAAACCCCAAATGGGTAGGACATAACTGAACAATAGAATATCACACTTTACAAATATTATCTCCTTTGATCCATGGCAACGTCTTCCTGATGCCATGGTCTTCTTCAAGAGTGAAGGACAAACCACACAACACAACAACCCAGGGAGGTAGGCACTATTATTATCTCATTTTATAGATGAGGTAAGCAGGGTGTAGGGGTGGGGCAGACAGATGTTAAGTGACTTCCTCAGGGTCACACAGCTAGCTGCTAGGAGTTAAGGTGGAGTGGAAGGTTGTGAGAAAGGCACTGACCTCATAGAGGAGGGAGAGAGGTCATTAGATAATGGTTACTGAAATTTGAATTGGGAGATAACTTCGTATAGTATGAATCTCAGAGGAGGAAAAGCTGCTGAGTGTTGGTGGTAGAGGGAGATTCATGTTTATTGATAAATTGTTTGACTGATGAGGCATCTGAGTAGGACTTTGGGGGCTACTTTTGCTCCTACTTTTAGTAGTGCTATTGCTCCTCCTACCTCATTTTAACAGAAGAAGAAACAAAGAGAAGTAAAATGATTTGCTTCTGGCTGCACAGTCAGTAAGTGAATAGCCCCTAGGTCTTCTGTCCAGTGCTCTTCCCATTAGATCTGTCTGAATCTTCTTTCTAGAAATAAGTAGTAATCTAGTCTCCACTTGATGTTGTCCAATGATGGGAAACTCACTACCTTCTTATACAGCCCATTCCACTTTGGACTGTAGATTCTTAGAGCCATAGATTTTGGACAGGAAGTTACTTTAGAGGGTATCAAATTCAAATAGAAATGGATTCCCAGGGACTGCATATTGACTTAGATAATTACAAATGAACATTATCTATGTTGCTCTGTATTTTTATTTATTTTATTAGACATTTCCCAATTATGTTTTAATCTGGTTCTTGCCCAGTACTCATAAATTTTGCAAGTCAGGAGCTCTGTAGCTCTTATATTCCCATGAGTCTGTCACCTCTTTCTAATCCTTTCATTTTAGAGATGAGGAAAGGGAAGCCCAGAGAAATGAACTAAATTGTCCAAGATCACTTTTGTAATAAGCATCAGAGCTGAGTTTTCTTCTCCTAGTGGCTTCAACACTAAAAGACTGTAGGTCTCTGAACATTATAATTTGAAGAACAAAGTTGCTGAGGTTGCATCCAAGAGTAACTTATCCAGCAAAGTTGAGTACAATCCTGAATGAAAAAAAAATGGATATTTGATGAACTGAAAGACTTTCAGGTATTTGTAACAACAAGACTAGAACTTAATGGAAAATTCTATATGAAAGATGCGGAAGAAATAGAAGGAAATCATTGAAGACTAATTATAGGGCACTGATAAAGGCTAAACTATTTATGATACATGAAAATATTATCAGTATTCTTAAAACTGTTATCATTACTAAGGTTGTTTGAAAGAAAGGTTGTGGCTGAGTTGTATGTGATGGGGTCATCCTAAAAAACAAAATTAGGTAGGAAAAGGTAAAAAAAGAATCAATTATCTCATAAAAACAAGGCATGAAAGGAAGAATTAATACAGAGGAAACAGGTGGGGGTGGAGAGCTGGTAATGGTGGAAACTTACTCTCATCTGGGTTGAAGAGGAAGCAAAGTGTACATCTGAAGAGGTTTAGAAGTCTTCTGAACTTCCAGTGAGATGAGACAACTGGAGAGTAAAGTGGGGAAAGGACTTTTAAAAGGTCTATAGAATAAGATTAGGAGGGTGGGGGGAGAAGATAAGGGAGGGAATTTTAGAGGAGTGGGAACAATAAGGAATGGGGGGGAAGGGCAGAAGATAAGGTAACAAGGATAGGATAAAAAGAGAGACTGAGAAGGAAAATAGTGAGTAAAAATAAGATATAAGGAAATTCACAAATAGTAAATAGAACTTTGTCAAATCTGTAAGAATATGAATCATTCCCCAATTGATAAATGGTTGAAGGATAAGGACATGAACAGGTAGTTTTCCAGTGAAGAAATCAAAACAATTTATAGTCATATAAAAATGCTCTAAATCATTATTGATTAGAGAAATGCAGATCAAAATACCCTTGAAATATCATGTTACACCTACCAGATTGGTTAAAATGATAGAAGGGGAAAGTGACAAATGTTGGAGAGGATGTGGAAAAACTGGTACACTAACACACTGTTGGTGGAATTGTAAATGATCTAACCATTTTGGAGAGCAATCTGGAATCATTTCCAAAGAGTTATTAAATTACCTAAAGGCTTTGACCCAGCAATATCACTACCTGGTCTATTTGGGCAGGTCTCTGATCCTCATTTTCTTCACCAATCCATCTACAAGCATTTTTTAAGCCCCTAGCCCAGGCATTATGCTAAGCCTATAAAATAGTAAAGTTAGACCAGATGATCTCTAAGGGAAACAGGAAAAGAAACTATATGTTTTAAAATGTTTATAGCAGCTCTCTTTGTGCTGGCAATGAAGTAGAAATTTCAGGGATGCCCATCAACCGGGGAATGGCTAAACAAGTTGTGCTATATGATTGTTTATGGATTAGTATTGTGCTATAAGAAATGATGAGGTCAATGATTTTAGAAAAACAAGGAAAGTGCGTAATGAAAATAATGAAAAGTGTAATAAACAGAACCAAGAGAACATTGTATACAGTAAAAGCAACATTGTTTTAAGAACAATTTTGAGCAAAAAAGGTATTTTGTCTATTATAAATGCCCAAATTAACCATAAAGGGCATATAAAGAAAGATACAATCTGCATCCAGAGAAAGAACTGGTAAATAGAAGTGTGGATAGAATAATTTCTATATATATATATACATACACACCTATTTGTGTCTAATAGTAGCCATCTCTAGGGTGGAGGGGAAGGAAGAAAAAAAAGAAAGGAAAAGCAAGTTGTGCATAGTAGATTTGCAGTTTCATGTATAATCGTCTTTTTTATTGTACTATGTTATGGAAATGCTTGCTTTATTCCATAAATTAAAAATAAAATTAAAAATAAATAAAAAAAGAGAAGATAGATCTTTTGATGGGACCTGAAGATAAAATACAATTGAATAAAAATAATTAAAAAAAGAAAGTAGGTTCCCTGGCTCTGAACCCATTTTTCACAAGATCAGAAAATCCCTCCTCATTTTGAATAAAAAATCTGCTGCCCTAATACTCCAACTTATTTATCTGGTTCTACCCTTTGGACCCTAGCACATTAAGTATAATTTTTCTTCTATGGGCCCAGATTTTTAGCTTCCTGAAAATAGGAACAGTGAAACATGTTGGACCTAGTAAATTCAATGCTATGAAAGGGTCTGCAACACCAGACAATTTCTAGGAGGCAGTGGAACGTGGTGGAAAGAATACAGTCTCTGGAGTCAGAGAGCCTGGTGGTCCAATCCTGTCTCTGATGCTAAATGAGCTCAGGCAAGTGGCTTGTTCTCCTTTCAGGGATTTTATTCTCTTCATTGGTAAAATGAGGAGCTTGTCTTTGATGTCCTTTCCAGCTCTGGCTTGATGACTCTTTGAGCTTTTCCAGAAAATAGCTGGGGTGATATTCTATCCTGCCCCCAAGTGGTAAACTTCATTCCCAGAAACTCAGACATCCCAGATTTCATGTTCCTGTGAGGGATTTGCAAAGGAGTTAAAATCAGTCTTTGGTGATTTTTTATACCCTTCCTCCTTTTTCTCCCCCATCTTGGTCTGAGATACAGGCAAGGATAAACTAAGCTGATATTTCAGCTCCTTGATAGGATCTCTCCACCCATCTCTCTTTAATAAGATCCCAGACATTCGAGAAGGCTGATAACCTTATCTCTCTCTGCAGGTGTACCTCACCCTGCCTTTCAGTTTCATCATAAAGCAAGATCTAAAGGAATCAGGATCCCAGCTCCCTTCTCCTTCTTAATGGAAAAAGCCAGCCCTCAGAAAGGTGACTCTTCTACTCTCAGCTTGGGTTTGTAAAACTCGGAATGGTGGAACATTTATATACACTCTCTCATTTGTCCTCTAAAATGGCCTCAGAGCCCAGGAAGTTGTCAGGGAAGGGATTTCTGAGAATGATAGGCCTTAAGACCAGAAAGGATCCTTAGAGATCATCTGGTCTAACTTTACTATTTTATAGGTTTAGCATGATGCCTGGGCTAGGGGCTTAAAAAATGCTTGTGGATGGATTGGTGAAGAAAATGAGGCTCAGAGACCTGCCCAAAGTTCCACATGTATCTAGTTGCCAAGCTGGGATTAAACCCAGGTCCTCTGATTCAAAATCTGTTACTTATTTAACCAAACTTGGCCATCCCATTTTTTATCTTTGGGTTTGCATAGTGCCTAGCATACAGTAGTTGCTTAATACATGTTTATTTAGAACCCCAAATTATTTTGTATTCTCTTTATGTACGCTTTGCATTTTACTTATATTGATCAATCAATGGACAAGCACTTATGAAGTGCCTACTATGTGCTGGATCCTGAGCTAGAGTTCAAGGCCCTATTGAAAGGAAAATTCTCCATTTGGGCTTTCACCCTGATTAATGAGACAAAACTCATGACAAAGAAAATTAAGAGGATTTTATTATAAGTATATCAAGGTAACAAGTTGTTGACAGACTGATCACCGAAGATCAGCAATGGCTTTAAGGTGGGGCCAGCTTTTATAGTTTCCTAAGGTAATCCAGACAGGTCCACCTCAGCAAAAAAAGAATCTCAATTCTTCCTGAAGGTAGCAAGAAAAATGACAATTTGCAGGTAGGGGTATGTGACAAAGAGCCAGCGATACAGAAACTGCAGACTTGATGTCTCTTTCTCCACCAGAGCCTCCCCTAACACTGTTGGATAAGCAGGGCTGGGGACAATGGGTAATTGAGTCAATATAACTGGAAAGGCAAAAAAGAAATGGTCTCTGTCCTTGATGAGCTAACATTCTAATGAGGGACACAACATGTGAATATGTAATCACATACAGAATATATGCAAAATGAACACAAGGTAAATTTGAAAGAGGGTGGTGCTATCTGCTGAGGGGATTCAGGAAAGGTTTCATAGAGAAGCTCAGTGAGAAGAGTTTTGAAGGAAATAAGGGATGCTATGAAGTAAAGGGGAGGTGGGATCATATTTTAGGCATGAGGGACAGCCATTGCAAAGGTGTGGAGATGGGAGATTGAAATGTGAAGAATAGAAAAATCAGTTTGGTTAAACTGAGGCTCTTGAGCATAGGAAAAAAAAGTAATATGTCATAAGTTTGGAGAGGGAGGTTGGGAGCCAGGTTGTGAACAGTTTTGAAAACTAAACAGAGGTAATAGGGAACCAGTCAGTCAATAAGAATATATTAAGCACTTAACGCGTACCAGAAGCTGTGCTAAGTGCTGGGGATGCAAAGAAAAGTAAAAGACAGTCCCTGTCCTCAAGGATCTTACATCTAATGGGGAGATAATATGAAAACAGCTTTGTACAAGCAAGATATAGACAGGCTAAGTTGGAGAAAACCAACAGAGGAAAGGCCCCAGCATTATGGGGGATCAAGAAAGGCTTTTGATAGAGCCATTGTGGTTTCTCAGACTATGGAGTGACCAGATCCACAGTTTAGGAAAATCACTTTGATAGCTTTGTGGAAGATAGGTTAGAGAGAGGAGGGAGTAGAGGCAGGGAGACCAGAGAAGAGGCTTTGCAATGGTCCCGGCAAGAGGCAATGAGGGACAGAATCAGGTTGATGGCTGTGTCCGTGATGAAAAGGAGACAGATGTGAGGATAATTGTGGAGGGAGAATTAGCTTAGCATCCTCTAGCCTAGGTACTCCTTCGCCTTGTTTTAGACAAGAACAAATACAATAGACATATCTCAAACCCCCGCTCACTCAGTCTTACCTACAGAGAACATATGCTTTAGATGCCAAGTGCCCATGGCTACATGGAGGCTGGGGTGGAGGGTAGAGTTAGCACAGGCTGCCCTTCCTCCCACGACTCTCAGGAAACAGCTTGAAGCAGTCTTGTCACAATTTGTAACTGAAAAGGAATAGAGAGGAAAGAGAGAGAGAGGCAGGAAGAGAGAGGGGAGAGAGAGACACACACAGAGAGAGACAGAGAGACAGAGAGAGAAGGAAAGAGGAGAGGGAGGCTTTATACATAATCAATAGACAAAAATGTTTATTAAGCACCTACTATGTTCCAGGCGCAGCTCTCCTGGCTCCTCAAACAACATGAAGATTTTTTGTCATTTCGCGATGTAAGCCCCAAGCCCTGATCATGCATGATTTACTGGACAAGGAATTGCAACTCAGCCCAGCGCATCTTCATTGGATGGCCCCAGTGGTCCAAGTCACCTCGGATGAGAAAACTAAGGCCTGGTGGGCTGGATTGTCTTGCCATGGGTCAGCTAGAAAGCATCAGAGCTGGCTTTAGAGCTAGGGTCTAATCTATTCATTATGTTCACCTTGGTGTAGTTGAAAGAACATTGAATTTTGTTACATATTTCCCAATATTTTAATTTGGTTGGGGCAACATTGGGGAATGTTGTGGGCCACAATGGCCTCCCAAACAGTGTTTGCCACCTATGCCGCACAATTCTAAATCTTACAAACATAGGCAGGTAGGTGGTACAGTGAATAGAGTGTGGGCCTGGAGTCTGAAAGACCTGAGTTGAAATCCAGCCTGAGATGCTTACCAGCTAGGTGACCCTGGGCAAGTCACTTAATCTTCATCTTCAAATGCAAAATGAATATAATAACAACATCTACCTCCCAGGGTTGTTGGAGGATCAAATGAAATATATATTTAAAGTGCTTAGCACATGATTGGCACCCTTTTTTCCTACATTCCTTCCTACAAACCTATGAGATCCATTTGGGCTTCTCTCCCACGATTGTGATTCAACTTGAAATTCAACTATGTACTAGGCACTGCACTGGGTTTTGGGTATGCAAAGATAAGATGGAAAACCATCCCTAACCTTGAAGAACTTACTTTCTACTGGAGGATACTAAAAGTACCCAGAAAAGTAGATACCCTGAGGCCAGAGAAAAAGCTAACAAGTGGAGGATCGAGAAAGGCTTAGCATAAGAGGTGGTAGCCAAGTATGACCTCAGAGGAAGTTAGGGATTCTAAAAAGTGGAAATAAAAACAATTGCCTCCATCTTGGTGGAGACATTGCAGGGGGCCTGGAGGTTACAAATGACAAGTCAAATACGGAGATCAGCCCAGGTGGTCTAGAATGGAGAGTGGGTGATGGGGAGGTAATGATAAAGCACTTATTAATCACTTACTATGTATGGAATATTTTGCTAAGCACTGATGACATAAATGCAAAACAGAGAAAATTCTTGCCCTCAAGGAGCTTACATTTTAAGAGAGGAGTTGTGGTCCAGGAAGGGCATTTTGGTTTGGAAAGTTACAGGGATGAAAACATTTCAGTTGTCCAGTTATTTTTCAGTTGTGACTCCATTTGAGGGTTTTCTTGGCAAAGATCCTGGAGTGGTTTGCCATTTCCTTTCCCAGCTCATTTTACAGATGAGGAAACTAAGGCAAATAGGGTTAATGACTTGCCCAAGGTCACACAGCCAGTAAATGTCTGAGGCCAGATTTAAACTCAGGAAGAAAACTCTTCTTGACTCCAGGCCTGGCACTTCATCTACTGTGCCACCTAGCTACCTTGGAAATAAAGAAATAGGGGAAAAGGTTGTGGTGGCTTCTTAACTGGAAAAGAAGGTAGGAGCCAAACTGTGAAAGTATTTAAATGGCAAATGGAGGAATTTGCATTTTATCCTAGAGGCAATAGGAGTTACTAAAGCTTCTTCTTCAGAAGGGGAGTGACTGTGCCTTTGGCAGAAGCATGGAGGAAAGAATGAAGAGACTGGAGACTGGAGCCCAGGTGGCTTTTGCAAAAGCCCAGGTGAGAGATGAGGAGGCCCTAACCTAGAGTGGCAGGCTTGTGAATCAAGAGAAGATCAGTGGTAGTCAGGAAAGGGCATTTTGGTTTGGAAAGTTACTGGAGTGGTGACTAAAGAGATAATTGTATAGATTGCTGCCTTACTTGGTAAGGTTGGTTAGGATTGTATTAGCCAGTAGGAAGGTGGTGAGAAATAGAGGGAGGAAGAATCAACAGGGTTGGCAGCTGATTGGGTGGGGGGCAGTGAGGGAGAGAGAGAAGAGTGGAGAAGGACTGGGAGGTGGTTAATGACTGGGAGGATAATGGCACCCTCAACAGAAACAGGAAAATGTAGAGGAAGGCTAGGTTTAGAATAGAGTAGGAGAAATTTGTTGTTTTGTTTTGGATTTCCCATTGCGATCTCTATCAGGAAATTTAGTGAAGAAAAATGTCATTCACAGAGTCAGGATAACTGATTAAACAGTGAAAAGTGCTATCTGCTGCTTGTTTTATCAACATAAGTCTTCCCAACCAGTTGGAATTTCTCATAACTGCATCCTTTGGTTTTATTGTCAATGCAGAAGGGACTGGCTTGCCTGGTAGTGATTTGGGCACCATGTGGGTACGGCTGGGAGGGAAGGGGCTGGGGTGGCTCCAATTTCTGCTCAGGCTCTCCCCCTCCTGCTTCTGTCTGACAATCTCAGCCCTCAGGAGGGTCAGTCTGTTTCTAGTCTGGGGCGCGGTGGCTGGCAGACTTCACCAAACATCCAGCAGTGTGCAGTGAGTATGTGCTGACGGGCTCCCCTGTGGCCATTTCACGGTCCACTTCTTTCCTACTGGGGGATGGGGACAAGATGCTGGCATTTGTGATTGCTTCCGATTGCTCCTTGTCCTTGTCCCCACTGTGGTTATTGCTATAGCTTCTGCTGCTCCTTGGTACCAGACACCTCACCCATGTAGTTCCTCCTCCTGGCCCCAGCCAGCATCCCAGGGAGCAGACAGACAGCTGGGGGAGCTGGCGGACAGCTCATCTCCCGTTTGCCTCCCGTAGCACTCCGGAGCTAGACAAAGAGAGAGCAAAGAAAAGGAAGGAGGAACACTCGATTCAATTACTCCCGAAGAGACTGTTTCAAGGTTTTCTGGTCTCTATGGCAGAAATCTCTAAGACAAAAAGCAGGGAAGCCCTTGCTGACCCCCAAACCTCTCCATAGTCATGATTTGCTCATATGTAATATTTATGACAGAAAGGAATGATATGAAAGGTGCAGATACATCTTGGGACATTTTCTCACTCTTTAGGAATAGAATAGCCACCTAGAAAACCAGGTTACATGTATGTATTCAAGCTCTGCTTTCCCTTCCCCCAACCCAGATCCTGCCAGCCTCCTGAGACCACTAACTCACCATATGAAAGCATGAAACATGCAGAATTATGGGATTACAGATTCAGGGCTGGAAGGGACCTTAGAGGCCAACATCCTCCTTTTACAGAGGGGGAAACTGAGGCCTCTAGGAGTCAGAGGATTCCAGAACCATATTTGTCTTTTGAATGGATAGTAGCGTACTTTCTTATTTTTGAGAATAATGTGTGTAGTATTAGGTATTACAGTTATCTGTGTTTGCATCTTAAATGTCTACCAGACTGTAGGCTCTGTGAGGGCAGGAGTCACATCTGATCTAAACTTTGCAATTCCCAGCACAGTGCACATGTAATAAATATTTATCAGTGAATGAATGATTTCTACCTAGAGCCTAGTATCATCCTTAGCCATAAAGAACATTAGTATTATAGATTCTAGAGTAGGAAGGAACCTCAGGGACCATCATGGCCAACCCTTTCTTTTTACAGATGAAGAAACTGAGGTGACTCGGCTCATAGAGTTGGTAAAATGTCACACGTGAGATTTGAACTCAGGTCCTTTGATTTTAAAGCTAGGGCTATTACTCCTTGTACTATATTGCCCAAGTAGGAGAAACAGCTTGCACCTGCTGTACTGGTCATGAGCACCCTTTCCTGATGGCATCTCAATGTAATGTAGATACTATGGGGTCCACCACTTTATCCTCTATGCAATACTGCCTCCCAATAGTCAATCAACTAACATTTATTAAGTGCCTATTATGTACCAAGCACTATTTAAGGTCTGAGCAGGGGAGGTTATTACTTATCTGGGAAGGGTTCTTGAAGGAGGTAGCATTTGAATATGACTTTACAGATATCTTGACATGATTTGGGGTGGCTGGGAACTCCAAAAATGTCAGAGTACAAGTGTCACCTGGAATGAATTCATGCACTCAAATTGTCTTCCAGTCAAGTGGCAAAGTTTATCTAATGCCAATAGAAGTGGGTGAAGCTCCTAGTGAACCTGCAAATTGATGAGGATGGTGCTGATGCTTATATACAAGAGACAATGAAAGGATCTGGGTGGGAATTAGGGAGTAGTAAGTAGTTTGGGGTGGGCTAGGTGCAACAGTGAAAGAAATATCAAGTAGGCTAATTAGGATTGGGGAGTGACAGGTATATGCAAGTAGTGTGGGGTGGGGCCAGGTGGCTTAGGTGGTGGCACCAGTGATCTGGGCTGCTGGAATGTATGGGAAAATTCCAGGACTGGGTTGCTTCCAGAGACCTGGTCTTTTCCTTTAGGGGTCTAGGTCCCATCACCCCAAAATCTCATCAGCTTCCATGGTTTAAATGACCATCTGAGTAGATGATTCTCAGATCTATTAATCCAGTCCTCACTTTTTTTGACTTCAAGTCTCCCATTTCCAGTTACCTATTGAACATCTCAAACTTAATGGTCCATAGATACCTCAAACTCAACATTCTCAAAACTAAATCTTAATCCTCCCTTCTGCTGAACTTCCCTGTTACTATTGAGGACATCACCATCATCCCAGTCACCCAGGCCTGAAACCTGGGTGTCAGCTTGGACTCCTCTTTCCCACTCACCTCACAGTCCAATCTTTTGTAAAGTCCTGCCTTAGAAATATTCCTATCATATGTCCTCCCCTCTCCACCTGTAAGCCCACCACCATCATCTCCTTGTGCCTGGGCTCTTTTGAATGCTTCCTATTTCAATCCATCCTTCACTCAGCTGCCAAAATCATTTTCCTAAATGGAAATCCTGAGCATATTAAATGCCTCCCTCCCCATTCAATAAACAACAGTGGCTTCCTATTGATAACAACTAGATTTTATGTAGCCCTTTGAGGTTTATAAAATGCTCATAACACCCTCATTATTATTATTCCCATTTGACAGATAGGGAAACTGAGGCTGAGAGAGGCCAAGTTCGGAGTCACACAGCAAATCAATATCCGGGAGCAAGATTTGAATTCAGATCTTCCTGACTCTCTCTGCCCGCCACCTATCTGCCTTTACTTCCAGGATTAAATATAAACTCTCCTGTTATTCTTTTAAAGGCTTTCACAACTTGA